TTTATTTATGCCTTTAATTTATATATCTATTTTAAACTCCTCCCTGTGCTTTCTCAGTAAGGCCTGGATAATGGCAGTAAAGGTTACCCATAGAAAAATTCTAGGAATCCAAATGACTCTGTGTATTCTCTCCCAGTTCTCTAGGGACATGTAAATTGAATTGGTTCAGCAATGAACAAAATTTATTGCAAAACCACATCTTAGTGCAGAGAAGCGTATGAAGGCATTTTTGCCTTTTGATTTATTAAATTGTACTCCCACTGTAGCTTCTGGGTAAGGACTCATAGAATTGTGATTTGTATCTGAGACCCACTTTTTCTGTCCTGGTGTTTATCTTCAGGATTGAACTCTGGTTCGGAGAGAATATAAAGTGTTCTACATTAGATGCCAGCTGGTTGCATGGTTTAGGGGCGAATGCTTCAGGCTGGCATCAGAAGGCCACTCCCAGTTTCATTTTCTCTCTGACTTGGGGCACATTCTTTCTTCCAGTGACTCATCTTCCCTAGCTGCCCACTGTGTCTCATCACCTTTATTGCCGTCATCGTCACGATGTTTTATTTATCATGTGGTTGGTGGTTAAGAGCTTGAGCTCTGGAGACAGACTGTGGGAGTTCCTGTCCGGACTCTGCCCATTTACAGTTGCCTCATCTTGGGCAAGTGACCTAACCTCTCTAATGCCTCAGTTTCCTCTACTGTATGATGGGAACAATTGTGCTGGTGTGAGGCTTGATCAAGATAATGCATACAGAGTGCTCAGCATGGTGTCTGACACAAAGCAGGGTTTTTTTAAATCATTTTTGTTATAATTAATTTATTATTGTTATCATAGTTATTACTTAATAGTTCTCAGATGGACCCTGATAAGATACACACATATAATTTCGATTCTCTAGAGCATACACTTGAAAACAAATATTCATTGGCATAGATATTTAACAAATCTTCTTGTACAGTACTCAGCAGAAACATACACACATCAAAGTATATAAAACCACAGGGCTAAAAAACTTTAATGTGACCGGGTCCAGAGTACTCTCGTTAAGCCGGACAGATACACTTTAGCTTAAGTAGGGTTGTTGAGAAGGTACATTAATCATTTCCATCTTCTAGAAGGGATTGTTTAGTGACCTGTGTCCCCGTGAGTTGATCTGGAGAGTTAGGCTCTATCCTGTCAAGACAGAGGCTCTTGAGAGGCTTAAGGGAAAGCGTATATAAATCTAAGGTACTCTGCTAATCGTAAGTCAGAAGGCACAGCCAAAGAGATCTCTTATTTCAGGAAATTGCTCTTGGCTCTGTACCTCGGTTTGATTCTAGTGGGCAGCTATGAGATATATAGAAGAAGGTTTTTTCCAAGGCAAACTCTGACTATTGGATGTCCTTTGCTCCTGCCAGTATAAAAGATATTTATAAACTGCAGCCTACTTGTGTGACTTGGTAGATGTGTGTGCTTGGTGCTGGCTGGAAAGGCAGAAGGTGGCTGGAACACCCCTGTAGAGGCAGAGTACTACGGCGCTTACCAGCTCTGTGTTGTTGGACAAGCTATGTAACCTGTGTGAGCCTCAGGTTTCACATCTATCAAATGGGCATAACACTAATAACCTAACCCATATGATAGTTACAAGGATTAGATGATATCATGTATGGCACTTTTTAAGATCTCAGTAAACAGAGCCATTCTTCCTTACTGTTTTCCTGCCACCAACTGTGGCACCTCTGTGGTGGTGAGGCTGCTCCTTCCCCACCCTGGGCCTTCTTATCATGCCATGGTTTGTTAGCTGCATTTCAAAACTCATTCTCTTTGGCCCATTTACCCAAACCAGACAGAGATTAATGGTCTAGCCTCAGAGGAACAGGCGGCACATGTTTCTGGCGCCTTTGGCTCATTGATCATGCCTCCAGTTCAGGGAATGCTTGGGTGTTCCAGGCAGGGCTCTCCCAAGACCCAGGAAACCTTAAAGGAAAGTAATCTGGTGCATACTCACCACATAATTAAGGGGGACTGAAAGCCCCGGGTTTTGCTATTCCTTCTGGGTGCCATTTATGAATAGGAATGAGTTTCTCTGGATACAGTGTTTTAATTTAATGAGAGGAATGCAGTGATCAGGGATGGCTGAAAACAAGACTTGCCAAAATATGGTCTCTTTCCCTGCACTTCCCTTACCCTACCCAACTTTCTAAGGTTAGTGAATACTAGTCACCATTGATACTGTCCCTGGCTATTAGGAGGCTCCCCATTTCATTCACAGGCCACAAGGCTCTCTAGGATTGGGTCACTGTCCCTCCCCCATCCTGCTCCATCCTTATTCCTACATTCCTCTGCCTAGCACTGATTGCCAGCCACACTGGCCTTCTTCCCTCCAAAAAGCCATGCTTTTTTCCATGTGAAGGAACTTGCACTTGCTGTTGGCATTGGCCCCCAGATCTTCCTAAGGAGGCCCCCTCTCATCACTCTGGTCTCATGCAAATACCACCGCTTCAGAGAAGCTTTGCCCTGACCTCAGGTCCCCAATACCCTTTTTTATTTTCTCCACTGTATACTTAGCAATATTTGAAATAATCCTGTTTGCTTACCTCTTTATTTCTGTTTTCTGCATTAGTAGGCAAGTTCCATGAGAGCAGGTACCATAACTCTCTTATTCACCTGTATTCCCAACACCTAGAACATTGCCTGGCCATTTTAGGCACTCAGTAAATATTTGTGGAATGCATGAATAAATCAACAAATTAATGAACTACAAGTAACTTTAGAAATTACCCATTCAAGAGGTCTTAGAGCTTTTCAATGCCAGTATCCGGATGTTTGATAGACAAATAAGTAACCGATAAAAGCAAAGGGAGGGGGCATTTGGATACCTGCAATTTTAGCTTCTTTCCCAATCCCTTTGCCATTCCCTGTGCATGTACCATGGAATTTGATTTGTAAAAACCATGTTCTAGTGCAGATTCTTCGTTTTTTATAGATGATGGGATTATTGCCCAAGGAGAACAGGCAACTGGGTTCCCTCTGTTACAGATAGAAGTTAGCATAACCTTGATACCAGCCTCTACCCAGACTTTGTGGTGACTTTTGCCTTCTTCCCAAATGCCCTGAATATTAAGCAATTCTTTCCCCTGTAGTATAGTTCAAAGCACTTGCATGTGTGTCATGCTTTAGAGTTTTCAATATATTTCTCCTTAACAACCTAATTTGATCCTCATAATGACCTTGGGAGAGGTAAACAGGATAACTGTCATCACCCCCATTTTGTAGAAGAAGAAATTAAGGTTCAGCAAGATGAAGTGACTGATGGCGAATCCTATGGCCAAAATCAAAGTCTTTTAACTTCTAATCTGTAGAACTTTTAAGTCTATACACCAATAACTTTTCATTCATCAGACAATCCTCCTTAAGTACAGAAACCTGTTCATCATAATCTTTCTGACCTTCAATAATTGGCTGTCCAGCTTTAGTCTTCTTTAGAAAATGAATAATAATTATTGTAAAACTGAGTGACTTGTCTGAGTTTGATAATTCAAAGACTTTCTTGGCCAACTCCTTCAGTTTACAGATGAGGCAGCAGAGGCCCAGAGAGGTTAGAGGTCAGAGGTCTTGCCCAATGAAACAAGGCAACTGAGGGGCCAAGTTGGACCCAGTTCCCAGCTCTTGCCCAGCCAGCCATTTCCTATCATATTTCCTGGCAGGTGAAAAATCCCTTTTTTTGCGTTTAATGGCTCTCTTTTCAGAAGTGCTTGGCTTGGGTTCTCTGGAGTTAATGGTTTTCAACTGAGGGTGCCATCAGAATCACTTGAGATGGCTTCTATTTATATTTTTAGTTGTGATGACCAGCTTTTTCCGATGCCTTTTCATACCTACAGAATCATAATCGCCAAAGAAGAGTTAGGGCACTGTGATTTTTTTTTTTTCTTTTCTGTGAGGTTTCATCTTATTTAATAATGACAGTTTATCAGGGATTGGCAAATTATGGGCCATGGCCAAATCCAGTACACACCGGTTTTGTATGATAGTCTGTGAGCTAAGTGTTGTGTTTACAAACATTTGCAATTGATTTAATGTTGGGGAGTACTAACTTTGAACCCCAAGTAAATGAAATGTATATTCTTTCTCCCAAAAAGAATCCCATTTTTTTGATTAGTAGACCTGAATTACAAAAAGGTTATATTCAAGTATTGCAGTTATATTTTGAATTTTGTCAGCAAAAAGTTTGTGGAAATATGTTTTCTCTCATTATATAAGTACCTACATAAATATCCTCAGTTCTGCCTTTTGGCCCATAAAGCCTAAAATATTTACTGTCTGGCCCTTTACAGAAAAAGCTTGCCAACCCCTGTAATATGTCATTGTCTATTTTATATTGGGGCACTTTGCTTTTTCTATATTTGATATATAATTTAAGGGATTTTAATTGTAAAAGTAATGTAATCTCCTTATAGCATTAAAATTTTCAGAAGTATATAAAGTAAAAAGTGATTAGTCCTATTCTCCAGTGTTACACTCAACAATTTATAATGTATCTTTTTCCTGACTTACAGCTTACTAGTTGTGGGACCTTAGTTAACCTCTCTAAGCCTCAGATTCCCCAGGGGTAAAACAGTGATAGTAACAGTTTCTACCCAATAGGCTGAGATAATTCACGTGAAGTGCTTAGCACATCGCCTAGAGCACAGTTCTTATTGATTTTTAACTAGTTAGAAAAAAAAAATTTGCTCCTCTTTAGCTTAGTTTATTTGCTTTAAAAAAAAAAAAAGGTGAACTTTTGATTTTTTAAGACTTAAGTTCCCCAGGTGATTCTGACGCACAGCCACTTAAGAACTGCTGAAGGAAATACCGGATAGGTCGTTAAAGAAAGGGGTTCGTGTTTGGAGGCCAGAAGTTATCTTCACCTTATGGCACAAACTAGGGGCAGGGGGAAACAAAAAAGAAGGAAGGTAATGGTTTTCTTCAGTGAACCTGTAGGGTGGTATAAAATGCACACAAGTAAGTTTTTATTTCTGTTTTCCAGGTCTACAACTCGAACAAAGACAGTCAGAACGAAGGGAGTAAGTATGTTGCTTGGGTAATTTTGTGCAGTTGGGGTTGGGAGTCGGGTTAGGGAAGTTGCTGCTCTGGGGATGAATCACCAGGAGGTGCTGTGGGCATGCTGGGTCTGCTCAGTTTCCCAAGTGCAGTGTGAGATGCTTCCACCCTGACTTTCTACCTCAGTGACTCCAGAAGGACATTCAGTGCAGCATGGCTGTCAAGGCTGTGATGACACGTTGCATTCATATAACTCTTCACACTTTACAAAGCATTTTTCATGTACATTATCTCATTTAATCCTAGCTCCAGGGACCACTTAAGAGTCACTTAATCCAGTAATACCCAACTCCCAAAGAGTCCTTATCCTGTGGGAAACCCAAAATTGACCTTGCCTTCTACACAGTCTTGCCAAAGGATGGGAGAGGCAACAACTGTCTTAGGTGATTGCTTAATAACTGTGTTTTCTTGGTTGCCCCTTTGGAGAGGAGAGAGTGGAGCTGGTGAATTATGTAATAATATTCCTCTTTGATGGATGGAAGTGACCCTGGACAGCCTCTGTAGAGTACAGCACATTTCCCCTGCTACTAGCTCTGGAACACTGGTTAATCATGATTTGCAAGGGCACCTGTAACCTTGTAAAGGTGATAGGATTAAAATGAAACTGCTGCTGGCAGAGTATTTGGGCTGATTATCTCCTTGGTGCATGGGAGAAAAAATAAATTCCTTCCAGGTTGCTGCACGAGTACAAAGGAAATCTTGTCCCCTCGCCTCAGATTTGCTTTGTAAAATCCACTTGGAAAAGAAACAAGTTCAAAGATAGCCTTTCCACAAATTCCAGTAGTGTCAGGAAAACAGAGCAGTGCCTCTCCATGTGGACAAAGGATGAGCGATTTTTTATGTGAAAGCCATTTTAGGATAGAGATTTTTCTCCTTTCATTCTCGCCAAAATATAGATTTTATCAGGAGTTTTATATGAAGTAGTAAGTGATATGGAATTGCTACTACTGGTAGGCTGAGAGACCTTTATAAGAAGAAAAGATGTTGGTCTCCCCCCCGCCCACTTGAAAAAGGGAATAAATTTTCAAGGAAATATTCAAGGAAACAAAGAGGTAATTTTTCCCCTCTGTGTCATTGCCTACAATGAGACAATATTTTACAATAATAGCTATTAATAGCTAGCATTTACGGACCACTTTCTATGTGTCAGGCACTAAGAATGTTTTACGTACATTAGTTCATTTAATAACTGCAAACATCCTGTGAGGCACTTGACCTACTTTGTAAATTAGGAAATTGAGGCTAGTAAGCTCAGGGGACATGATTTAATCTAAGTTCTGTCTAACTCCAAAAGCTCCACTGTTACATACAAGGATAGTCTCTTTCCCTAAGAAAAGAACAATACAGAGAGTTCCATTTTGGAAAACAGACATTTGCAATGCTTTGGTTTTGGCCTCGAATCACTCACAGAGTGAAGTAAGTTGCCTACCTCAGGTATCTAATGAGTCTTCAGTTGCTTACCCTTTCTTCTACCAAGCAGGAGAGAAGAAGATGAGTTAAAAAAATCCTGGCTACTTTTTCAGTAGTTTAAGATAGACACTATTTTTTTAGGGTATTCAATTAATAGCAACAGCAACACTATTCTAAAAGATGACAAATCCAGGGTAGTGTCCTGGTTTCGCATTAGGGCCCATTTTCCACATCATACATTTCCTAAGCTCCCACATCTTCGAAATTGTACTTTCAGTGTCTCTTGATTGCAGTGATTTACAGTTTCACCCCACCCCCACCCATAGGGCTCATCTGCCACAGGTAGCACCATTGTCTTGGGTCTTGATTGTTCTTTAATTCTCTTATACCATGATCTAAACTTTTTTAAAGGTAAGTCAATCTAATATGAATTTATGAGAAGGGCCATTGCTCTTTCTACCTTCAGAATCCAAATTCCAAATATCTAGCATTTTCTTTTTCAGAAAATGTTTTAGCAGGAATTTGAATGCATGCATTTTATTATGAGCCAAGATGTTTTGGAGGGACAGGTAGCAAAAGGAAATTCCTTTGGGGACAGTTTTGAATTTGTTGCTTTCAACTAGAGGTTTTGCTCAGGGCATACAGTGCCTGTGGGGTATAGTACGGGGCCATAAATAATGTCTGTCAGCTGCTGGTATTTTCCAAATGGCCCAGTTGCCAGAAAGAGGATGGCAGCAGATAAATATATGCACATTTCTTTGCAGACCCTTTCTCCTGTCCACTTGTCTTCTCCCTTCTCTATTTGGACTGCAGATATAGATGGGGGAATTAATCATACTCCTCCCCAGTTTATGGCACATTATCGTCACTGTTCCATGCAAGGCCCCTCTCTTCTTTGTATCTATTTATTTCTTTTCCCTGTTCCTTTTCATTTCCTTCCCCATAGGCCACCATTCTAGTATGTACTTTTAAAATGTATTCCGGGAAAATGTGTATGTCTCTTTTATCTACCTGTGTTTTCAATTTTTTTAAGTGGTTGTCTCGTTTTCTTTCTTACTTTGTTCCCTTGGCACTGTGTTAAGAGCCATCCTTAGTAGTATGAGTATTTCTAGACTGTTGCATACTCTGTCTGCTGTATACTCCATGGTAAAAACAAAACTAAACAGCCACTGAGTTGATTCTGACTCATAGCAACCATATAGGACGGAGTAGAATTTCCCTATAGGGTTTCCAAGGCTGTAAATCTTTATAGAAGCAGACTGCCACATCTTTCTCCTGCAGAGCACCTGGTGGGTTTGAACCATTTACCTTTTGGTTAGCAGCTGAGAACTTTAGTCACTGTACCACCAGGGCTCCATGATGTATACCTCCCATATATCCATTTTGGTAGAGATGAACAAACACCTCGAATGCCTCCAACTCCTCATCACCACTCAGCACCAAAATGAACATCTTTGTGCATGTGCTCCTGTGTGAAAAATTTTGAGGGATGTATCCAGGAGGGGAATTGCTGATTTGAGGGGGTGCATATATGTACTTGGTTTGAGTACTCTGATCTTGTCCTCCAGAGTGGCAAGACCATATCCCACCAGTCCTATATGAGGATTTCTCCATCCCAGCCATCTCTCACCATCATTCAATTATTTAATTTTTTGCCGGTCTAATAAATATGAAACGATAGCTCATTGTTGTTTTGTGTTAATTTCTCTGATAATTAATGAGTTTGTGCATCTCTTCATATACCTGTCAGGCTGTTGGCTTTTATCATCTGTTAATTGCCTATTCATTGTCCTTTGCCCGTTTTTCTACTGCAGTTTCAATCTTTTTCTTGTTGATTTGTAGAAGTTCCTTCTATAGTCTAGATATTAACCCCTTGTTAGTTTTATACCCATTGGAGTCGAGTGGATTCTGACTCATAGTAACCCTATAGCACTGAATAGAACTGCCCTGTAGGGTTTCCAAGGCTGAAATCTTTACAAAAGCAGACTGCCACATCTTTTTCCCTTGGAGTGGCTGGTGGGTTCAAACTGCCGACCTTTCAGTTAGCAGCCGAACAGTTAACCACTGTGCCACCAGGGCTCTTTCTTGTTAGTTTTAGACATTTTAAATGTATTTTCCCATCCTGTCATCTGCCTATTAGTATTATGTACAGTATCCTTCATTGACTGTAAAACCTTAATTTTTAATATAATTAAAATTTTTTTTGCCTTCTGGTTTGTGATTTTCAGGTTGTTTTAAGTAAGTCCTTTCTCAGTTAGGACACAAAGGTGCGCACCTACATTTTCTTTTATTGACTTTATGATTTTGTTTTTTACATTTAAGTTTCTAATCCAGCTGGTATCCACCATTGTATGTGGTATATCATAAGGATATAGTTTTATTTTTATTTATGCAAAGAGTCAGTTTCCCACCATCATCTATTAACCTAGCCATTCTTTCCCCCAATGACTTGTGTATTAGGTTCGAACTCTTTATTCTATATCATTTGTCTGCCTGGCAGTTCTTGTACCAATACCTCTTGGTATTTAATATGATAACTTCGAGGCATGTCTTAGTATCTGGTAGTTTAAGTCTCTTCTTTTTAAAGGTTGACTTAGCTGATTGTGGACCTTTTTTTGTTCTTCCATATTCCAAAATTTAGAACAAGTTTAATAAGTTTCTCAATAAATAAAATTTTGACCCAAGGACAAATACTGTATTATCCCTCTTATGTAAAATATCTAGAATAGGCAAATTCACAGAGGCAAAAATTTTTTAAGGGGATGAGAGGGAAATGGGGGGTATTGCTTAAGGGATTCTGAGTTCCTGTTTGGTGTGATGAAAAACTTTTGGAAATAGACAGTGGTAATGATTGCATAACATAGTGAATGTAATTAATGTCACTGAATTGTACACGTAAAAAGGGTTAAAATGGCAATTTTTCGTTATGTATATTTTACTATAATAAAAAAACATTAAGTTAGGATTGCATTGAATAGTATAGATTAACTTGGGGAAAACTGACATTTTTATAATATTAAGATGTCTCCTCCAAGTGCACTGAATGTCTTTCTATTTATTTATACCATCTGTGTTGTTTATTAGAGTTTTAGTTTTCTGCCTAGAAGTCTATGTATTCTTGGTTAAGTTTATCCCAAAATACTTCATAGTTTTTGTTGCTATTGTAAATATATAGGATTTTATTTTTAAAGGTATTTTCTGGATAGTTTTTACTGGTCCAGAAAGATCCCATTAATTTTTGTTTATATTGTATTGGCAGTCTCAGGACTCTTAGCAGTTCTACTAGTTTGTCGATTGACCTCTCACCAAGCATCCTGCTGCCAGTGTGGACCCTTCCCTGGGTTTGTGTCTGGAATAGCAGGAATATACATCAGGGATGTCGAGTTCCCTAATTGGTCAAATTCTCACCTAGTAGAGAAGGGAAAAGAGGGGGGAAAAGTATAGTAGAGAGAAGAATGTGGTTTGTTGCTCCCTAAAGCTGCTTTACTGATCACTGCCAGTGTCAACAGTCTAGTCATCTGATAGCTGCCATTTGCCTCCTTTATTATGACAA